CACCACCACCACCACCACCACCACCACCACCACCACCACCACCACCACCACCATTGACGAGTGAATAAAATGCCGACAACCAGTTTGGTTATTCTAAAGCAGTTACAGCGTCATGTAGCAGACAAAATATTGCCTGAAATTCCTGGCAATTGAGGCAGGAAGCCCATAATTCATTGATGCGTTTGAAAAAGAAGCAGAATTAAGACCATTGAGTCTGCTTGAACTAGTGGTCAGCTTATAGAAACTGTACTTGGCAGAAGTAGCCAGAGGATTAATTAACGGTGTGATCTTTCACCCTGTCTGGTGACAATTTGTCCTGCATCATTGCTTTAGTTACATGCGAGTTGCCAGAAGGCGCCTTCCCTTTCAACAACGAGCCCACGCCGAAGCTGCCGCGTCCCCTGTTCCCCGGTGGACGTCCCGACCAGCTGGTGGACCGGTCGGCGAAGCCGTACATCGTGACGGCGTGCTACAGCCGCCCCTACCTGCCCGAGCCGGCCTGCGGCTACCCCGAGCCCGCCGGCTACTCGGACGAGCCCGGCAACGGGATCGTGGTGCCCCGGATCCTCGGCTACCACCCCACCGGCCCCGCGGACAACTACACTGAGGGTCATTCGATGCGCATCACCGCCCTGCGCTACCACCCAACACAGCCTCACTTACTCACCTCGGCCAGTTGGGATCAGTACGTCAAGGTAAAGCTGCCACGAGAAGGGAAGTGGGAGTTATCCTGCATGCCTTTGAAAGTGGCTTTGACACAAAAATAATCTGCCCCTTCTTTTCTATACTTTCCTTCCAACACTTTAATAAATAGTAATAACTCTATCTAGCATCCTGCAGGTTACAGCTGTGAGAATGAAATGCCAGGCTACTTCACATCTTTGACCCTAGTATTGACATTGCTTTAGCTGTAAAAGGTTCAAACTTTCCTTAAAGATGGTGCATTTTGCTAAGTCTCACTCCCCAATTCAAAAAGGTTCCTAAATCCGATCAAGTCAAGGCTGTTTCGTGTCGAGTTTGTGCTTTAACCTTTTGCCAATCGTGCGTGCCTCCTCGAGAATGCAGACCCATTATTTTTGGTACTAGGTACTGCGGAAAGGCCCCCTCTTGACGACTTATTTTCTGTGCGCTTTAGCCGAGTGGGAGTCTTCACGAGGGCTGACTGAGCTCAGAGCTTGCTGAAAGTAGCCTCTCGCAATTTACACGAGCCCCCAAAGGCCATCGTATTCACCAATGAGCGGTTTATGCAGCCCAGGCCAATATTCCTGTGGTACCATTTTGCTCCCTGCTTTAACTCATCATTGCTTGCAATTGGCAAAGATAACTTTACTGAAGTGGAATGCTGCAGAATAGTAGAGAATAAGGTCTTAATTTAAAGGACCAAACGGTCCAGCAGCACAAGTAAATCTGTCATTACCTCACGTTTAACCGCCTTGCGGTTGCACTTTGATGCCGAAAGCAAACATCTTGTAGCACGGGTGTCCATTTACAAGTGCGACGACCTCAACTAAACCACCCTAAAACGATAAAACAAATTTAAGGGATTGAGTTTTCAAAAAAAATTATCTTGAAATGCTCAAGTCCTTGTTTTTAAATGATTTTATTTTCAAAGTGCTTGCATCGCAAACTTTCCTATTGGTCCTGGAATCTCCTGGCCAAACAATTCACTTGTGATATGTTTGAAGCTTATTTTTGGCTTTGTACCGCTTTGCGCCTTGTGTTTACTTAATGCGAAGTTTGCACGTCTTTTATCACACACACATCTCAAATTCCAATCGTCGAGTAAGTTGTTAACATTCCCCGTCGATTATCCGCAGGTGTGGGACACGCGAACGAGGTGTGGACCGGTTCACGAGATCTACGGCCCCCACGTCTGCACTCCGGAGGGCCTCGACGTGGAGGACAACATCATTTTGACGGCGTCGTGGCGCAAGCGACAGTGCCTCGAGGTAAGCAGGGTTGTGGTGTGTGTGTGTGTGTGGGGGTGGGGGTTATCTGGGTTACCGGGCCTGGCCACTTTGTTGAAAATAGCAATGTCTCAGCTCAAGTTCATTCAGTGATTGGTCGCAAGTTGTGAGCGTCCGTTACTTTGAATCGCACCAATCAACACTGAGCAAACCCAAGGTTAGGTCGAACCCCCTCTCCCCCCTGAGGTCAATTTTTTGTTGCCCAACTAGATATTTTGTCTTATCGACTCCACATCCTCGAGTGTTGACTTGAGGTTACTTTTAGATGGCAGAAAACTCATTTTCCAAGAATGTGTGCAATTTTCATTGGTCAGCGTTGCCTTTATGAACGGAAAAGGAGCGGCCAAACAAGCAGAATTTATTATAGCACTAACTTGAACACGTAGGTGTATGCTGCAAGCGAAGTGATGGTAGCAGTGACCTGAATTTAACGTTCAACACGTGCGCATGGGTTTCTTCTGCCCCGGAACCACCTTTTTCAAAAATGGGGTGTTTATGGAAAAAAAAACTAACAACAGTATGTGAACGTCACAGGACACGAATGGTATGCGAGGAATATCTGATTGTGACGCGTATAACACTTACGCACACCTCCACATACTTGCAAATAAGGACACGACTGCAGTTTGTTTGAAGAAACTTCAAACATGCCATCTATGCCATTCAAAACCTCTCGCAGCAAAACGATTTTGTGGTATTATGATCCCTTGGGCTATTTTATCCTACTCATTCAGTAGATTTCATTACAAAATTGCTAACTTGACTGTTTTCCACGATTGCAGAATGGAAAATTGCGAAAACCATAATCAGTGGTGCATGCGCTTGCAACAAAAACCTATGATTTGGTGAACTTGGTCGGTCAAAAAACAGACGGCTGGTCTGCCATTATTTGCTGTCCCGTAGTTTGCTTACTTTTCAATGAAGAGGAGGTTCTATGCTCGCAGCATCATGCGATGCCAAGTGGTGTTGCATTCCTCTCCAGAAAGTCATAGGGTGGAGTGTGTGTGTGTGTTCTGGGTTGTCTCGCCACTTGGGGCTTCTAGCACCTGCAGAGACATCTTTAATGAAGGGCTGCAACTCACCTTGGGGCCGGCCATCAGTCTGGTCACGATGCGACCGGTATTCACCACTTGGAGTGCACCTATGCCCAGTAACAAGCACACATGGTCTCAAACTGCACTCTGGGCCTCCACTTACACCACTCTAATCACAGGTCGGTAGGCCTGATATCGCCCCAGGAGATTTCAACAAGGATTCGGCCTGTTTGTGGCCTCTCCAAGGCGCTTTCTTCGCGGCAGTCACCTTGGCTGCATGCTGAGTCGTGTAGAGGTCTTGTGCTAGGACCTAACTTCCTAACTTCAATTTCACTAATAAGGTAAAAAAGGAACATCAACATCCTACCTGTAGTTGAGTTAGCCCTATGTTGTTCGAGGACCCGCCGTTTGGCCGCCGAGTTGGATTTGACCGTTTGCACGACTCAGTGACGGCAAAGCCACCACCTTTTGCCAAACAACTCAACCTAGTTGTGACTGGGTATGGAAGAAGTTGCTTCTGCTTACTACGGCTGTCGAGCTATACAAACGGGGGTGAACCTGATCCAGTATAAAATACCTGTATGGCCAGATGACCAAAACGGGTAGAGTGGGGGGTGTTTGAGCAGACACTTTCGCAAGATCGACAGCGTTGCTGCGACCATGCGGTCAGAGTGGCGGAGAATGTGACGACCGGGTTAGTTTACTTGAATCAACACGATTCACCACAGGCTTACATGTCTCAGTACAACCCCACGGCAAATTCCAATGACAAATTTCAGTTTGTGGTTACTTGTGTCTCTAATGGGTATTGTGTGTCTTGGGAAAAACGTTGAAACCGCAAAGCCCTCTCTATTGGGCGCTGTGTTTATCTCCCTAACAAGGCCGGTCTAGACTTGGCGATGTTAGATCGACGCACTGTTAAATGCGAGTGCTGTCACCCTTTTAGATTTGGGACCTGCGGTGCCTGCGACCAGATGCCCCAACCACGGTAAACAAGAATCTAGCGGGTGGCGACGTCACAAACACCCTGCGCAAGCAGGCTTACATGAGACCCGCGGAGACCATTCCGGTGTCTGGTGTGCCGGACTGGTACAGACACAGCAGCCAGGACCGCGGAGAGTACCTCTACGCGGCGCGTTTGCTGCCCAGTCGGGCCATTGTCTGCGGCGGGTCTGGTTTCAACGAAGTACGCTTAGTCAATCGCGACACCAAACACGTGAGTTCTGCTAAAATTTGCTCGCACCTTGCAACCTTCATTGGATAACATTTAGTCGAATTTGCGTTAGATTCTATCACTTTTGAAAAAAATGTTGACATGGGAAACAGTTACATGTATAAGCACACTTCGGCTTCTCGACGGAGCCATCTGCTTGTGCGTGCGCGTAATTTCGGCCAAGAATTATCTGCCTTAGACCACTACCTCATAACTCACAGTTATCGAATTTGCTATGAGCCCGATAATCGCACCAACGGCCTGGTGACAGACATGCACAATACGCGATAAGTGGAGTTGGACTAGTTCGTCCAGGTTCATCCACTAGACTGTACCTCTTTCTAAATTTGACGATATCTTTCACATAATTTTTAATGCAAGTGCACACTGGAGATTAGTTTAATTGGGTGATTGCAGGATTTCGTCCACCATTTTCAAGAACAGCACAAGCTTGCACTTTGTTTATCTGTTGACATTTCTTTTAAACCCCCTTCGTCTATTCGTCGATTTTAATTAATTAGTGTACACGTAATGCAACGTTTCATAGGTTTTAAAAGGAGGGTATATTAAAATGCAAACAAAATTATTCAATACGTGTACATATACCGGTCTCCTGACGTTAGGCCGTTAAACAAGTGATTTACTTGATTCCAATAATGGTGATTTTAGTCTAAATGCTACACTTAGCTCCGGGCGACCTTTTGTCTATGATCATGTCTTATTCTAAGAATTGGTTGCTAAAGTCGATTTTGAGAGAGCCGGGAGACCAAACGTTAGCTAGTAGACTGCATTTTGCCATTTTGAGCAGTTTGGGTAAACTTCGAAGTTCAATATGTGGGTTCGCACGCTACGACTGTGTTAAAAGAAAGTGATACGTGTTTTTACAGCCATTCCTCGCTTCTCCAGTTGTAAATCAAACCATTTCATGCACCATCACATAGTTGGTGATGAAAAACGATTTGCTCACAACATCGTTTAGAGAAAATCAAAGCCGAAAACACCCAAATAGGAACAGGATCAGTGCCAAGGGGGGGAATTGAGCCCAATGAGAAAGTGTTGGCAAGTGTCTAGTGGGTAGATTGCAAGCCTATTCCACGTGGTCAAACTACGACTCACCCAACTCAATGCTGAAAATCAAGCACAACGTCCCAATTTACTCCTTAGAATAAGCGTCAGCATTTGCTTTGGCAGCACCTGACCAAATGCCGCACAGGAGACCGTGCGAAACGTAAGCGGGTTAAATTAGGAAATATGTTGGGTGCCCACTCGTTGTCCCATGACCTTGTAGTGGACTGACAGCCACCTCGCGTGAGTGCTGCGTGCAGGGGGGCCGCCGAGTGTACCAATGACACCCATTTAGCTATTGGTTACTGTGTGCATTCGCCTGTTATGCACGCGCACTCATACGCCCACAACGGTCGTGTTCTCTGTCGCCTCTTCCCTCTTCTCGAGTAGTTACGGGCTGTTAACTAAAGGGTTGTAAGGTAGCAACTTCAGACTCTAATCACTTGAGACTTCCACCCGCTCGTTTTGCTGCAAATTTTTTGTTTGATTTTATGGAGGAAGTCAGAACTACCTTGCGGTGATTCTTCGACCGAGAAACCACACAGCTAATGCAGCTGAGCACATTTTCCAAATGAATCACTCAAATCTGCTAACACTTAATCGCCCTTTATCTTTTAAAATTAGCGTAGCAGGAGACATTCTTGGTAGAATTCAAGCCTAATATTTCAAGCATTCAATTTGGTGTTGGCTACACGGGGTCTCTTTGTTTTCACTCCCTGTTGCCAAGGCAACGGACGCTGCCTTTAGGGTTTGCTGCGTTTTGGTGCCACGGTCGTTACACAACGTGCCATTAATGAAGCCGAAATTAATTTAATCGAGACAAAACTGAACTATTTATTCCCTCAGGTAATTTCATTTCAGCCCAATATACATCGTTCCGCCCATTTCAAAGTCAAATTTACGCTACGAAACGGGACTCTTTTGTCACGAGGTGCAAATTAGTGTGGCCATTTGCCCTAAAATTACTAACCTTACCAAAATGTGCCGCACTACAGTCACTTGTGATGTTATGACCAACAAACCCTAGCCTTGTTTCGCACTTTGACTGACATCAAATTTGGCATTAATTTACATAAACTCGTCATAGCTGTGGCTACGACCAATGCTGTTAAGATTGATTAACGACAGTAATCTACTTGACTGTATTCAATGCATTAACATTGCAAGTGATTCACACTTTGCGCCAACATATAAGAAGAAGTCTTACACTAAAGCTGCTCATTAGTTACTAATGTTAAAACAAGTGTGTTAGATCCTTAGGCGTGTGGTCGCATTGTGTGGAAATGCCTGCAAATTTGGTCTGAGCGCAAGACCTGTTGGGAAGTTGTGCAAACTTGGAAAGCTATGTCGACACGAGTGATGTCCGATTATACATACAACAAGCTAGTTTTTCATCGTGCGGTGAACAGTCATGCAAAGCAGTGCTTCTAGCTGCATGGGTTCGAATCCCGCCACTATTACATCTGCGTATTTTCAGACTGTGAATTGTGTGAACAATCATTTAAAGACTGCCAAACCTTAATGCGAAATTTCGACACCTGCTGCATCGCCTGTGGACACTTGAACAGAAATCGGGAAAGGCGTAACATCGCGTAGATTTCACGGAATCTGACTAATTGAAGATGGACGCACACATGACACATGTCACCATTTCAAGCCTTCTTTAAAAGGACCTCTTATTAGACCTTAGACATAACTTCTACCCAATTATACCCTACCTTCTATTTTCCAAGATGTTTAAAGCACTTGAGTGTGTTTTTTTTCGCTTCCCTCTTAGCCGATTCTCCGAATCCCGTCTGACTCGGTGGTGCAGTCGCTCGACAGTGTCCTCGAGGGTCGGTACATCGCCTTTGGCTGCGCCAGCGGTTCCATTACGATAGCCGGATTAGCATAGCTTTTCCAGACAAAAGCTCACATACACACACATTCCTTCCTATTTAAGTGCAGTTAAAATGTTGACCTACAACATTAACAGTAAAAAAAATAATTATTATTATCGTACGGGTTGTTCTGTATTTTGTTTTGTAATTTAAACCCACAGAAATAGATGGCATTGGGTTTTAGTGTTCATGTCGTCTTGTATACGAATACCCGCAGGAAGATTAGCATTTTTTTAGTATTTATGTGGCCATAATCACCAATGAGAGGTACAGAAAATTCCCCTACCAAATTTTCCCGTCTAATTTAGGGCTAAAAAGCAAGTGCATCTGCCTTTTACTTGGCGGAGTACTCTTCAAACATTTGACGCAATTTGATCAAGCAGATCTTGGGATCTACAGGAAAAATCTTGTGATTGGTCTTCGCTAGTGTTGGTGACCGATGACCAAACGTCGCACAAACTGTGTTCTGATTGGTTATTAATTAATTGACTCTGTCTTACTTAGCGTTGGGCACCTCCCACCACGTTCGCCTTGCCTCAAAGGAGGGTAAACGGCTGCACATTTCACCGCCCTAATTGGAAGATACGTGAAGTTAATTAGTGCGTTTGCAAGGAAGCAGAAAATTCACTGGTTAATCACGCCTAGCGTTTGAGCAAGGGAGCTAAAAAGATGAATGTCAAATGTTAGGTGTTCTAGGCTACATCGATCGATATTTCTTGTTCTACAAAATCTCTGTAAGTTGTACTTGCGAATGCAAATTAAAAATCATCTGTTCACAAATAGAACCTTGAGATTAGCTGTGGCGTTTGCATTAGAACACGTGGATAAACACAGGTCCGTGGTCTGGCAATGGTGAGACCACCAGAGTGTACAAAAATGAATTTGCGAAAATCGAGCCTTTCAAATACGTGAGCTGCTCAAGAACCAGTCAAAGTCGATTTCCAAAACGATCAAATGGTCTCAATTTTGCCGTAGAAGTACAGAAATAATAATCTGTACTAAATAATATTGACGTATTAATACTGAAAAAGAAACTACCGTCTTGTCCACCGACCACTAATTTTCAGCCACAGATTTGCAACATTTCTAAGTCAAAATTAGTAGAAACTAAGGTACTACTAATCAGCCACTTTTTTCGAGTTCATCAACCAAAAAATGACAGAATTGTAGAATGCATCCAGCGGGACTGCTGGTCGTTTGCGGGTTGGTTGTGTGCATCGTAGCATTTCAGCTTTCGTAAGAGTGAAATGTTACGGCGCGCCTAACACACATTAGCTGTGGGATTCGGACCCGGAGTCAACATTCGAGCATCCCGTGAATGTTTTTGCATTAGTCGTAAGCATTAAAAATTATGACCCAATTATTGCAATACTAGCACTAACAACCACTCAAGGTAGAAATCGCAGCGTATATGGCGTTGCCCGACTCAGCTTGCGTTGTGGCAATATTATGAATTTTCGCGGCAGAAGTAATGGGCGTCAACCTGTCCTCTATTAAGTACAAGTCCAGCACTATTTTATTGCCCAATACAGCAAGATCGTAATTTGTTATTGGTGTGGAAGCCTGCGTAGACGCTGCTGGCTGGTTAATTTAATGTACCAATCAAACTCAAGGCTTTGTTGCCATGGCGAGGAGATTTCTGGTGTCCAAGTGTTTTACTGCATTACTTTTCATGGTCCATTCCGGTCCTGATGGAGGAGCCACAGCCAAGGACATGATGGAAGTAAAACATTCGACAGAAGTGCCGCCCCATCAAGACGCCGCCTCTGGATCTTCAGAGCTTCTTGCTGTTGTCATCATGTTGGCCTATTTTGTCGTCATGGTGGGTGCTGGTGCGTTTGCTTGGTACAGGAGCCGAAAACGCCTGCAGCAATATCTTGAACGGCGACAACTCAGAAGACCACAAAGATTTGAAAACGGTAGTCGTGTTTTAAAAATTAAGTACTGTAGCTGTGAGTCCCTGGAATAAAATGAAGAAAACAAGCCTCTTTTCAATAGTCTACCGAAAACTTTCGTAATATGAACCTGCTTTACTTCTGGTTTATTAGGGTCCATTGTAGTCATATTGGCAGCGGCTTTAAACAAACTTAAAAAATCGTCTGAGGCTGCTGTTAAATATGAACCGACGACTATTCTGCATGTTCACATTTTATTACCTTGCTCAGTGTTTAACACTTAGTACCATGTTAACACCTTGCCTCATAGGTAGCAATGGGTAAAAACAAGAGTTTGGCCTCGATTACTGCTAAATCTATCATAAGGAGATATGCTCGATTACCTGGAATAGGGCAATGGGGTGATAATTTTTCAAAACGTCTATGCGAGCTTTTTCTAATTTTAATTCTAAGGGCTGGCTAATCAGCTTTTGTGATGAGAGCGCAGACCTCTACCACACAGTTCAGGTCGTGTTGAATTTCCTGCATGGTGATCCTAGAGACTGTTCGTCCACATTGCTGATTTCCCTTGTTCTAAACGTCGTTGAAATAGTCAAAGTTGCAGCTGAGCGTTGTTTAGCATCGTGGCCTTTGCGATCGGCTGTGCTATACACAAGGGCTGGACGTATCAACATGAAAATTTACTTTTATGATAGCATACTTTATAATTTTGTCCAATTTTTCAGTAACACTCCTTTTATCAAATGAGTTATACACTAGGTACACGCAACTCCACCGTGAAAACACACTTGCATTACTACTTAGTGATGTAAAATTAATTTTAATAGCAATCACTTAGAAAACTGAGTGCCTTGTTGTGGGCCCCTGCCTGTGGTCTTTAACCATGCCGGGGCAACAGAATTAACCCTGGCCTGATTGCGCTTCCCTGATACCAGCTATGGAGGAAAAAACACCGGATAGGGTGTGGACACAACCCTTTACTTAAGAGCTCCACCACGATGGTGTCGTTGGGTCGTGTGTGGGGTTTGCGCATGTGTGTTTATACCTCAGATGCGTGAGTCATACATGCGATAACATCGAAACCTAGGTGTGAGGATAATCCAAGATAAATAGCCGTGTGAATGAGGGGGGAGTTGAGGATCCGCGCGGCTGGCGACATGCCACGAAAAGGGGAACCCTGTGTCGGAGGATGGAGCGACCGGATTAAGGGGTGTGAATAAACACGATTCACAACACCCTAATGTAGTAAGGTTGTTGCTCTCAAATTTGGTAATTTGATGGCCATGAAATGCGTCACGGACTGACTTACTCGCTAGCCTGTTGCTCACACAGTGAATTTATTTTAATGCAGCAATAGTGTGCTGGGTAAAATGGGCCATGTTTGCATTTAACCAGCTGTGTAAAGCTCGTTAGGCTTACAGATAGCTGAATGGAATAGCAGACTCGGTAATTGGTGTGTTTGCATTACTAATAGAGTTCACTATGTTGAATCCAAAGAAAACGAAAGGAATGCCGCAGCGAGAATACCAGAGAAACTATTTCGACGGCGATCCACACGGCAAAAATTGGAGGTTTAACATTAGCAATATTGCAATTATGTAAATACACAAACAAGCGACAGAAAGATACCAGAAACTGCCATTTTACAGTTCAAGAAACAAAGCCGTGTAGTTTGTGCCTGCATGTGTAGTGAACTGTCAGCGATCGTGCGTGAGTTAGGCATGTCCAGAAGCATGGTGTCAGTGACTCAGCCCTGCTTCATTGGCCCATGCTATCGGTCGAGTACCACGCGTTTTCATTCATCCGCACACAAAGACACGCTTATCTTGCGTATTGCTAACTACCGGTAATGTCCGTTGTCGCCTGTCTTATCCCGATTCTCCGGTTGTCAACCGGTAGGGCAGCAGAGCATTTGCTGGGGATCCAGCGTTGCCCATGACGGCTCATCGTGGGCAGGCTGGCGATTGAAGAAGCCGGTGGTGTTACTTTGGAAAAAAGTGGCAGAGATGCAGCAGGAGGAATTGAATGATGCCATGGTGCAAGAGAGTGTCAGCCTTTGCACACATTGGGCGAAGACCGTTTAAACAATAAAGTCGAGGAGATTTCGAAATTGGTGATCTCATCCCCACACCGAATGTCAAGGGAAGATAAAAAGCATTTTAGAACTGTTGACAACGAATGAGTGATGTCCCAAACAATGAACGTGACGAAAATGTACTCTGAGGTTAAAAAAAGCATGCGGTAACAAACCTAACCAATCAGAATTGTAAAGCTGTAAAGCTGCAAATCCGTAAATAAGCCACAAGTAAAGTTTCATGAAATCACGTTTTGATGCTGGCTGGCTGTCTGGTCCAAGACTCATCTCAATTATATCTCACAGACAGCCTCTTCTACCAATGGGGAAGACATTGTTGTGAGTCGTGTTTATTCAACCCCTCAATCCGTTCTCTCAGCCTCCGAAACAGGGTTCCCCTTTTCGTGGCATGTCGCCGGCCGAGCGGATCCTCAACTCCCCCTGCATTAGCACGAATATTTATCTTGGATTATCCTCACGCCTAGGTCTCGATGTTAGCTCAGTTATGACTCACACATCCGAGCTATAAATACACACACGCATAACCCACAGACCACGATGCCTTCGTCAAGTTCTCGAATAAACGGTTTACTCTCTGTCTTTCCACCAACTTCAGCTTTGTTGAATAATTGGCGTTATATGACGTCTCAACACATTTAAGTAATTAGAGGTCAAGTATGCAGTGGAATCGAATATGGTCTAGAGTTGCAATAACCTGAATTTTACCGCAATTGGATGTGCTTGGGCCAGCAGAAAGCAAGGCCACAGCTCGCAGTAGGTGTTAACAGTGTCAGATATGAGGCAGCGCTGATTCGAAGTAGCCCAAACCCTAGCCGGCAGCTATGCGCCATTCTTCTTTCCGTCTTCTGTCTTTATTGCACTCCCGCTCAGCTATCACATCACCTCAAATCGCTAAGACCGATGTCCCGCTGCAGCAGCCACATGCTGGAACGACATTTAGGAGCTTACCTCACACGAAAAAACACGCCTGCCAATTTTATAAGAGTAGTGTGCTTGTGAAGATGCAATTTTACCAGATGCATGATGCTCGAGAGTGGACTGCAGCTATCGAGTGTTGCTGAGTTCCATCAGAATGAATTTTCGTTCGCGCATTGTTTATGAACATTGACCCAATAATGTGAAACCCTAGCCATAGCACGCATAAGGCATTACTTGGAAAGTAAAGTAATATATTTTCGCCGGCTAGGGGTTTGGACTACTTCGTATCGGTTTAGAGCCCGCCCCGCGATCTGGCACTTTTCCAGACCTACTCAACACCAAAATCCTCTTCAGGATTCCGACCAATCTGTAGTGGCAAGAGACTTAGCCCTACCTTACAACCCTCTAGTTAACAGCCCGTCTCAAGTCGAGAAAATTGAAACAAGGTGACACGACTTGATTATTGGTGTTTAAACAGCCACCCACATTGTCCTTCTCACTCACCTCACCGCTCAGGCATTTGTATTTCTACCAGTTCATCCAGACCACATTGGTCAACGACATTAGCCTGTACAACCAACAGCACTTGACAATCTACGATACAGTCTCGACTGCGTTACAATGTTAATTTATAATTTCGAAAAGACCTTAGTTATGTCTACAGATTTCATAGTGAATTATCTTTACACAAAAGTGGGAATTGGGCTTGAAGTAGAAGTGGCGCCGGAGGCAGAGGGCAAGGCAATAGGTCGATGATATGCCACACGCCTGATGAGGGTGTTGGAATTGAGGAGGTGTGAAAAGTGCCGGATCGCGGGGTGGGCTGGCAGGCGCATATGAGCATTGGTACGAAGTAGCCCAAACCCCTAGCCGGCCATGCTACGCCTTTATACTTCCTGTTTTGTACCTTTTGTGCACACCTCGGCGTTCGCAGCACTGGGTTTACACTGTTGCCACGCGCACATATCAACACGCGCGTAAATAAGCCATTGTATTTCTCGCAAAAACAGGACCCACGCACTGTTCATGGTTGGTAAAATGTCCAGTTCGACACTCCCCGACACCCCACATCTGGCAGGATAGTGGCCCAAGTGAATCAGTGACGAGGGACTTGGCTCTGGTGGACTTGCAGGAAGGCCGCTTCATTCACCACAGTTTCCTTCTTCACTTGCAGTCCAGGTGGCTCCTCCTGTCCATGTCGTCGTCGTCGTCGTCGTCGTCGCTGAGGTGCCAATGTCTCTTCAGATGCAGCAGTCCTAATCCCGGGCAATGTCTATGGATCCAGTGTGTGGGACATCAGATGACCGCCATGAAAACTTCAGTTGGCATCTAAGGGTCTTTGCCTCTGTTGTCCCGAAACAAAAAGGGTTGGGGTTCGATTCATGTTATTCGAACGCATCCGCTGTCACCAATGTAGAATACCCAAGCCCAGGTATGAAAAAGACCGGTACAACAGAACAGGCTTTATTGACCAATCACAAGCCAGAACCACACGTCAGGCGCCTTCCAACCGAGTCCACCACGCTGGCCACGCCGCTCTTTATTTGCTGGCCTCATTTTTGTCCTTCTCTGGTTGGCTGCCTGCCTTCTTCGCATGCCATGGGACCACAGGGAGACAGAGGATTGGCTTAGGCCAGGTGGTCAAATATGTCTGCGCCCTTTTGCGTCATCATAGGCATCACTAGCAATTTATCTTGTGTGGCGTCGGATCAGGGCGCAGACATTTTGGACCACCTGACCGCAGCCAATCCTGTGTCCGTCTGCGTTCCAATGGCATGCGAGGAAGGTAAGCAGCCAACCAGAGAAGAACACGACTGAGGTGCAGTATATAATGAGCGGCTTGGCCAGCATTGTGGACTCGGATGGAAGGCGCCTGACGCGTGGCTCTGGCTTCTGATTGGTCAATAAGGCCTGTACTGTTGTATCGATCTTCTTCCTATTAGGGCTCGGGTATTCTACACTTAAATATTAATTGGGTAGAATATTACATATTGCCATATTGCATCACTCACGGCTAGCCAATCCTCTGAAATAGTTCGCATGAAAAAAGCCTTCGCCTTT